AGAATATATTTCAGCGAGATGCGTCATAAGCCCATGAGTTTATTTCCTCTTCACACTCTATCCTTTGCATGATTGGAGATACTGACAACGAGGAAATGACAGGAGGATGCTATTTACTTGGAATCACATCATGGCTGAATTCCTACAACGACTAGATCCCAGTACAATAACACGTAAATGTACACACAATAATAATAAATATGTATGTATGCACCTTTGATTTGGAAGTTTCCCTTACACATACGTATATCCAGTTAACATAATTCACAGTACATCCTATACGCTACACGTTTTGCCTGTTTTACCATTAGAGATGCTCTAATTTCACCGCATACGTAGTTGCCTGTAACTCGACGAGGAGCACAGCAAAAGTCAGCGGGTACACTTGTGAATCAACGAAATTATACAATTTCCACGAAATGTGTAGCTACGTGTTTCACTCTCCATCAAACCACATCACACTGAATCGGAAAAGAGGCGAAGGGAAGAGAGGAGTCCTCTGCTGAGTGGGCTGATTCATTCAAGTTGATTGCCGAAGGGTTGAATTTGGGTGGATGAAGCTTATGCAAGTTGCCAAACAAATTCAGCCTGCACGGATTGTACAATTCAAAACTTCACTTTCTCTGTCCAACTGTTGGATAGAACTCTGCTCTGCGCTGTCCTCATTTATTATTTCAGGATGTGAGTGTACTCGGCAGACAGACAACAGCACCATATGCACTACAACATACCAGGCAGGGACTACCATCATTACGTAGTTGTGCATACTTATATCCAGCCTTCCTCCTTTCACTCTCATGGTTGAACGAGACAAATGGTAACAACCACTCATACAAATACACCGACACGGGTTTCCTTGATAGTTTACTTCAACAGTGTTTGCGTCCCAGCCCTGCAAGAGAGAGAGAGAAAGAGGAGGGTGGGAGGTAGTGAGAGAATGAGAGATGATATGGAGTGAAGAAGAGCTGCTACGTTATTTGCGAACATGCGGGTATTTTCATTTCTCCCTGTGGGAATTATGTGCTTATTAGGTTGCAAGTTATAGACGAGGAGTTGGAGCATCCCCACATATTTAAGTAGGTGCATACTTGTATCCAAAGACAGAGCCATGTGAAAGCTCCATCACGTGTATCATCATATCATATCGCTACAACAAATAGTGATTCCGAGTCTCAAATCTGAAGTCTGCACTCTTTCCAGGAGGACTTAGTTGAATGTGTCCTGGTATAAAGAATGATAAAAGCGTGATAAATTTCATCAAAAAGAAATGCACAAAAGCAGAGGGAACACTGAGTTTGTCGTAGCGGTGTTGGCTAGTGGGTGGGTATACATGGGTTTTGATACTCGGAGGTGACACGACGACAATCGATACACATTCTTATATATCAGACAACCAAGTACTTGGTCAGAAGAGGCGACTATTGCATTAGTCGTCGTATAGATATCAGCCTCGTGCATGGCTCCTGCGGAATCTGCAAAGTGAAAGTACGATACGAACCGACGTAGTCCTCGATTGGAGAGAGGCGGCAAGGACAGTGAGTAAGTTGGATGGAGAGCTTTGAAAGGGTGACCGCAGGGGAATTCTCTCTCCATACGAATAAATCCGATACATACATGTCCTCCAAGTAATAAAAGGAGGAGAGCGACCTGCTGGGGTTGGAATGAAAATATTTTTGTGTCATCGCATTCAACTCTTTTTTCACATGCGTGTTTCCGAATATAAGACTTTTCACACCTCTCTCTAGCCAGAGAGGAGTCTCGTTTACTGCGAAAAAAGAGGAGAGCAGGGAGGTGAAAAAGAGTGAAAAACTCTCTACTGCTGATCACTTCATGTCCATTTATTTTCTACGAGTCGTCGAGTCGGCAACGAGTCCTAGAAACTTATGATTTACAAACCCATCTATCTCTCCCTTTCTCAGCCTATTCCCAACCCAGCATATCTGCGAATAAGTATTTTCACAAAAAACAACAAGGAGCATTTCATGGACGACAATTGAATTCGAAATAACAAAATAAAATTTCCACTTTAGAATGCAGAAAATTGATATTCTTGAAAATGATGCATCAGTATCAGGGAGCCCCAACGCATCATGATTAATTTGTAATACAAAACATACCACTTTCACCCATGTTATAAAACCTATTCTTCCTTATTAGATACATGTACAGTTTTGGAAACCTATGCTGAGAGCAAGGTCTGGAGGAGATGGATGGGGATGGAAGTTCGGAAGGGCACAGCCTATGGAGAAGACCTATCCTGCCGTGGGAAGTGGGAATTTATGTGAAAGTTTACTTTCTCTCCCCCTACGTCATACTTCCAACGGCAGGGATGACGTCAGTCTCCTTTCTACTGCCAACATGAGGCTCGATTTTTCCATGTGTCGACAAAAACAGGGCCCTGCTATGCGTAGCCCATCCACGATGACCCATTTTCGGAATTTACTGCTTATCTCTCCAGTCCATACTTTATTCGAAATTTCCCCTCCATGTGAATCCCTCGCAAACATTCGATCGCAAATATTAACAAAAGATGGAAGTTTAAATACAGATTCCGCGTATCCATATTTCAATATGTAACAGGTACATCGCATTTCTTATAAAAATCCAATTTTGATACTCAAACAGAGGGAGATTGGAAAATGTACAAAGCATAAACATCATTTATAAGAATAGAAATAGATGAAACCAGGAAACATGACCTTTTCTATTTTCATCAATGTGGAATTGTGAGCTTGGTCTTCTGGGCTAAACTATGTGCTCAGATAATTGTTGTGTATTAATTTTTTATTCAAGCATGAGTCTAAAAAAGTAGTGCAAACTTAAAATTATTTCTTACAGCATTTCAACTTTTGGAATTTAAATTTCAGAATAATACCCACACGCATATTTATGCACGAGTTCATAAAACATGTAATGCTCATGAAATTCATTCGGTCCAACTACTGTTTTTATTTATTTCCATCATAAAATAAAATCATTTCATGTAACAGACTCAAGTAATATACTCCGTGATGGCATATGACACTGAGAAATGTTATCAGATTTGGGGAAATTTGTCCTGGAAGTGAGCGGTTAAACTTCACACTAGCTTTTTCGTATGCACTACCCAATTCATTACCACGTTGTGGTATTAAGCATTAGAGTGTATCTATTTTTTATGCTGCACGATTATGTTTGCAATCATTCTTAGAAGCCATGCGAGCCTACGTGTGAATAAACTTTCAGCTTAGTAAAGTGAGGCTGAATTGCAGGAAACACTGCATTTTTCGATGACAATGTCTCCATTGCATTCATGTCAACATCCAAGAAAAATACGACTATGATGGTTCGTAATATTTTCACTGCAAGTAAGAGGATGCATTATTACCTGCTTCATTATAGCGAAAGGTTATGTACACATTCCTGCAAATGGAAGCCATTGAAATTTACTACATTTTTTCTAAAACTCTACGAAGAAATTGTCGTGTTTGGTTACAAACGATCCAGAAATTGGATTTCACAGTAAAAATAATTGAAAGCGACAACGAATTAATAATTTGCTTCTTAGCTTTTCAACGATGTTCAAGTTCAACAAAGCCAAGGCGGAAGAGATGCCATGAAGAAAAGAGAAGCAACCACGTATGAACTGTGAACTCGTTTGTGTGTTGTACCTGAATGTAAATTTGATTAAATTTAGTTCCTGTCAAGCGCTTTGCACTCAAAAACTTTGTATTTGCCATTGGGTTTGATCCCAGTTCAATTTAGTTCCAAATCCATTTGTTGGCAAGATCCATCTAAAACTTGAGCAGGCCTCATTTTTCTTCAAATTCAATAGATCTGTGTCTACTCACTCAACTTTTTTTAACTCACAACAGGGAATACAATCACAATGGATAGTCGCAGAGGTCGACGAGGCGTAGATGAAAATATAACTTTCATCAGCTAAATCCAATACATCACGAAAAAACAAACTTATGAATCCCAACACAGCTAATCACAATTTTCGAAATTGAATCTGGACATCGTTGTCCTGGTTCGAGTGTTGGTTTGTGCTTGAATTTTGACTCAAGTAGAATACGAAGGAGCCAAAGTAAATACGCCATACCTACAATTTCCTGCTTACTTCAATCACTCACTCACAGCCACAATGGTGCATAATATCGTGTAGACATTGAAAATCGAGGTATGTATGCATATATATGCCGCATGCATTAGTAAACTGTTTCCTGTCAGCACAGCGAGCCTCGCAATCTTTTAATGCAAAATAATATTAAAAGTTGAAAGTGAATGTGGCCGAGCGAAGGAGAGAATACGCCCACTTGGCTTTCCTTGACTTTGGCCACGTCCGTAGTAATAACAGTTGATGGCCATTGTTGGTCGTAATAAGAGTGAAAAGAAAGCAACTTCTGTACAAACTTGTTACCCTTCAGAGTTGAGTGAGATGATGTTGTTGCACAAGCAGGGTCGCGGTAATGGAAGAGGGAAAGCGCTTCCGTGCATGGTTGGTTAGTTCATGGGAAATATGCATATGGCTCTCACTACTTGTTTTGTTTGCTGGGTTTTATCCCACCCGACCAAACTCCTCCATGTAAGCGCTAAATTGCATTCCTACAACTTGAGGTAAAATCTAAATTTGAATTATGCATCGTTAGAATATGGAAATTATTAATTCTGCATTGGTGTTGAAATGCGGCCGGGTGTTCGTTTTTCAAAACTATGGAGGACAGAGTTCAAACAATGTTTTATATGCATTTTAATCTATGCATACAAAGTGCGACTATTTGGATACTAATTCCAGGTTCCGGGTTTATGTATAAATAAATCATGCATGAATTACAAAAGACAAAAAGTATGTGGGGACAACAGAACCCATCAATATACAACAAAAATACGAAATATGTACATCATAATATACAGTGCTGCAGTTAGTTGAGTATATGGGGGCACATTAGTAAAATGTTGTAGACCATCAATAAAAATACAGAAAGCTAAAAATGTTCGAATCTCGTATGTTTACTTACATTTAATATTCCAAGGTCCAGAAAATTGATAGTATTTTCAAAATGTAGGCACGACGCCAATTTTATCAATGCACTTTTCAATTGGCGTGGATATGAAAGGGAAAGTTATTATTTGTTAACTTCACTCAAATGGAGAAAGCAAGTAGGTCCTCGCTCGCTGACACTGCAAGAGTCTGTCCTTCCTTCTTTTCTTGGAGGGGAAAATAATGTGGCACACTAATAATGTTGTTCCCTTAAAAATTCACTTGCGATGATGGTAGGTGGGCCGGGTCGGATGGGATCATCTGGAAGAAAATGAACATGAAAATTGCATTTTAGAGAAGTATTCTAATGCAAAAAAGTTTTCAGAAAGCCATTACGTATCAAAGTGCATTAGGTAAGTCACATGAGAATGTATGTCTTGGTATTATGGTGATGTCGCGTGCTGTTTCATACTAAATCGCATGTGCACACCACACGAGAAAGTACTCCCAAAATAGTTTGATGATCATGGCAGAAGCTATATTAACGATTACATATATGTTCATATGTATGTACATGTACGTACATCTATATACATGCACCCCACTACTACATACATCTTGAAATTGCTTCAGTGAAAACATACTGGAGAAATACAAGAGTGTGCATCTTGCCACTAATTGTACGTATGTATGTCGGAGGTAGTTGGTATGGTTCACCAAACGACCATACACACCATACAGCATGTTGTAAAAGATGTAATTCTTTTAGAAAATCTTCAATAAAATGGGGCATTAACTCCCTACATTTCAGAATCTTCCAAAAATGAGTAGAAGAAAAGTTTGCGAATATATGTAGCAGAACCACGCAACTTATATAAGTTCCGCCAACAAACACTTGTCTTGTACAGTAAATATCGCCCATTCAGCAGTATGTGTGGAACCATATTTTCTCCAGTGGGCTTGTAAGTACTTACTACATACACGCTGGCTAACTGGTTGATTATCTGACAAGATATAACAACTATGGAGGGAGGATGCTGCACTCTTTCATACATAATTAATAATAATAGTTTCATAAGAGTTGTCGCCATAATAAAGTCGATTAGTACAAGCTGGCATTAAAGAGGTTTGAAAAATTTCGAAAATTTACAAAGAATTTCGTATGTCTCTCTGGGCATTCTGGAGGCAAACAAGCAATACTTTAGTGGGCATTATATTAATATGACATACACCATCCAACTAATTACTTTCTTAGATACAAGTAGATTTTTTGTAAATATGTACTTATGTTGTACGAGTGTGACAATAAAAATTACAACTATGCACAACGATTTTCTAAATGCAGTTTTAGACTTTCAAATGTAAAAATTGGTTTATCGCATATGGTAATTTCTCCGAATAAAACTCTTCTTCTGCTTGATGACCTTCATTGTTCAAGTCTACTTTTACGATTGATATTAAAAACTTTGGAATTAGAAATATGTACAGAGGTCATCATGTCAAGATAAAATTCAAAAGGTTCATATGCACGCCCAAGTCGTCATAGGTTTAATGTGAGAAAGAAAGTAAACTGTGCAGACACTACTAATTCGTCCTCCAGCCATGCAAGAGTATATGTAACCACACAATCCGAAGCTATTTGGGAACTCAATTTAGTGGAATGACTATCGAAATGAACGACTACTATATAAGTTGGTTTGGCTCATATAAATATATATATCGCAGGAATGGTAAGGCATCGACATTTTCATCCCGAGATAGAAATCCTTGGTTTGGTTGGCTTCATAAAAGAAATGGATTGTATCCTGGAGTGTTAACCTAATGGGTTAATGTGGGGAATAACGATACGCATAAATATGGCAAATCCCCCACCTCGGGACATTTATTGGCGACCATCTGAATTTGCAACGATCAATTTGTTGTTTGAAACTTCCAAAGTAATAGGTTAAGCACTGCGGTTGTATCTTCAAAGCACTTTTGCCAGCCTATTTCCCCAAATTAAGTTAAATCCTCATCGTATAGAACTGTGGGAAAGCTGCGAGTTGTTTCTGCGAAGGCTGTTGGTTTGGATTAAATGTATTTCGCTTCATCTCACTCAACTAACTTGCTCGCGACTCTCTAACGTGCATTAATCCCAGTCAAGTTTATTTTCCAAACATGCAGTTGTTTTCAACCAAAATGTGCAGTATTTACAACTCACAGACACACCACTAGCCTAATTTAACTACCACTAAGAATGCGAACGGAGTGACTCTCAGAAGGCAAAGTCAGAAGCCAAATTCCATACCACTTTCCAGATCCTTCCAACAAGCTCAAAATTTTGTGATTCAGGTACTCACACCACAGGACATGCATATTTCTCCACTCTATATATTTTATTGTTTGTGTTTGGCAACATTATACAAACTGATGTAATTTGGTCACGAATTCATGGATTTCTGCGTTGCAAATATACACTTGAACGCCACAATGTTTGTTGTGAACTCCACTCCTGGGCTGAAGAGGAGGAGGTTTTGCCAGGGGGAGAAAAAGATAAACTCACCTTCTTCTCGTTAAACAATCTTAGTCTGAGGAACGCTGAATTTTAGTTGAAGTAGAGAAACGATTGTTTGCCCGAATTTTAAGTGAAGAGTTGAGCTTAAAGGATTTTCAGTTTCATTCATCCCTTCTTTATTATACGAGCTATCATCCATCCTTCTCCATTCATCCCTATCAAAATAATCCGTTGAAGAGCTCTTGCTGCGAGGATGACATAGCTTTCTCCACTCATCTTCAGTAACCAAACAAACTCTTTCAATCCACTCACTCACTCACTCACTCGGCATATTTTCTCTGTTGTTGGGCTCGTTAAAGTTCAACCAAATGAAGAAAAGGTGATTTCGTCAACCCTTATTTCACTCTCCAGCCGCATGGAACGAGAAAATTTGCCAGCCATGCACATTCCACAAGAAACCATAAGAGCGACAACACTTATGTACAACCACCCCAAACAAAGGAAATTAAATACATATGTGTTTTTGTTATGTTTTATCTCCTTGTGGTATTCAATATATGTATCATCGTTGCATAATCCTACATGCATACTAAATTTATTCAGTTTCTATACAATATATGTGTGTGCGTTGTATAATCTGTATTTATAAATATATCTACAGACCGTACGACAGGAGTGTCACATGCCTGCGATTTATATGGGTTTAACGAAATCAGTTTCAGATATTCCACGGCTTTAATGGAATTTATGTGTGGTGACTCTAAACCTACAAACTTCGTGAAAGTGCATGCCAATGTGAATCTCTTATCTTTGTTGTCCGCAAGATATCAAACGCGTAATATTGCATTTACTTCCAGCTGCTTCATCATAACTAGCGACAAACGCAGCGAAGCACGTCGCAAAACATTAAATCCTACAACCTCCTACATACTTGTGACACATAAACTTTCACTGGTTTGCTTGTGCACCTCAGCTTCATCCGTATGATTCGCTCAAGAGAAGCCCGTAAAATACGCCCACATGCATGGAGGAATCCCTGTAAGACGAATAGGCTTATATAATGAGAAAGAGAAGGAATTCGCATTCAGCGTGAGCATAATATTACATCTCAAACTCACGTTGAATTAGACAAGCTGTAATTGGCTTTGTAGAGGAGAAAGTCGTAAAATCGTTAAATGAGCTTTCGTGAATCAACTATCACCTCCGTCCGCATTCTAGCGGGACGTGCACCCTATTCACCACGTGATGGATATTAAATGGAAAACTTTATACAGTTGAAGAAAGTAAAAATTCTTTAGCAATGTCAAAATTGGCAGACTGCTAAATAGTTTATTGAGATATGTGCTAAGTTCAGACTAGGGTTTCTCAACTATTTTATCCAAAATAAACCTATTAACTATTCTTCTCAGATATTTTAATATGCACAACTTTTCAGGCAAGAGTTGTCATTCCTGGTTGCAGATTGGTGAGTGAGCACCAGCGGATAATTTGATAACCGGGGGTTATGCATTTAGTGGGTTGCTTGCCAAATTATCTGTGGAACTGTGTATATTAGTAGTGTCGATACTTGTAGAACAGATATTTGAACAGAGAGAAATTATTATTTACATGACTTGATGGCAACTCGCGATCCCAATGATGACGGTGGTGGTGGTGGTGGTGAGATGAAGGGTGGAAGCAGTGATGATATTACAATGTGGTTAAGCTGAAACAAGAGAAAGCGAGGGTTTCGGGTTGATGAAAGGCGAGGAGTCAGTCAAGTTGCATCGTGAGCGAGTTCAGATCCCCCAAGCACCGAGTCAATAATACCATTTTCATTTCATGCATGTTGCGCCCATTCCAGTGAATGTGTCATTGCTTGCAACATATCGTTCCAAGCACACACTCGCACAAACGGCATTCATTTAAAGCGAGGAAAGTCAGGAATGAGGCTGAAAATCCGACAACGAGAGCTTTCGTCCCCTCAAATGTCTTGTTCCCCATTTCGAAGGATTGCATTGGCGTTAAATTACAATACTTTCATAAAATTTACATTCAATTCAGCGTGGAACGAGCTTTGATCAGAATAACATCACTGTTCAAATTCGCTCTCCCCATCACAAAATTGGGTACAAATTCAGTCCCAATCTCATGTGCGTCGTTCGAGAGTTAGGGCAGATGTTGGAGGACTATACAACGCATTTTCATTCTGATTTACATGTTTCATTCTATGTGCTCGGGATATTTATGGCCAGATTTTGTCGCAATTCAAGGGCAATACAGTACATTCAACGCGTATATATGCATATGTATGTACATATGCACGTAGGCATATAAGTACATACATACTCGTAATATATATACTTAAAATACATGTATATGGAATGGATACTCTGACCATGCTAAATATCTAATATTCACGGCTCGTATTTTTCTTTAGGGCTGTTACTGCAGTGGAAATTGTGATTTCTCGGCAGAATTCTCCAAATGGTAAACACTGACAGTAATCTCGCCGTCACACGGCAAAGTAATCCGATAAATGTCAAAATTTGGCAATGGGAGCCTTCACTACATTGCTCATGTGAGCTATCATGTACTGTAGTTGATGACATGCAGATAATTCTGCCTTCCCTCAAACGACGAAAATGAGTAATCTGACATGGCTCGTGACATTAGATGTCTCTGAAAAATGAAGCACAAAACAATGTTTGATTGACCTTCGGCATTTACTAATGAAATAAATTACGGAAACTTTCGCACAATTGCAGTTATAAGTCTATATAATTAATGCATCCTGAAGAACTCGTACCAGCCGTCTCTCTCAGAATACTGCTCATCAATACCAAGA